AAGATTATATTAGAAATTTTTAATTAAGTGAGGACCTATGCAGAAATTCAAAAATTCAAATTAAATTTGAGTGGACTTGGGCAGAAACACCAAATAATAACCTGAGCACCAAAACAAAATTATATACATAAATATATAATTATTTGCAAATTATTTTTTAAAATAAAATAACATTAATTAAAATTTTAATATTAATGAACAAAAGAAAAAGCAATATACTTAAGATTTCAATAGAATTTTTATTGAAAATATTTAAAAAATAAACCTTTAGAAAGGGATCATCAAATAAAGGTTGTTTACGAAGTGCCATATTAGCTCACCTTTTTCTTTTTTTCTTTCTTTTATCTTTTTGTAACGCCCTAAAAAATAAACACATAAATTATACATTCTTGACATGCTAAACATAAAGAATAAAGCATAATTACATTTCATCAGAGTGTTCATTACAAAATGTATTACATGTTGACAACAAAAGTAAATGCCTTGCGGGCTTACAACTTCCAAGCAACACTTGGTTACAAAAGGAGAGTACTAACTCAAAACACAAAATAAGCCCTTGGCTTGATATACATGTATATAAGAATAATCACAAAAGTGTCCCAGCCACTAAGCCTCTCAAATAACGTCCTTGGAGGTGGCATGCTACTTGTACCTGAAAATGATGTCCCATATAGGTGAGCCAACGCCCAGAAGATATGCTAAACATAATATGAGCAATAACAAAACATTAGTATTTGATAAATGTTTAACTCACATAAATCAATCATAACCATTCAATTACATGAACAATATGTCCATGTTTCATTTCATTTTTCATTTCTTATCCATTTCTCAGTTCATAACCCTGGCTCAAAACCTGGCCATATACTTTAAAGAATTATACCTCATATCAACAGTACTTTCATTTTGACAATTCAAATGAGATAAACAACTCATATTAAACACTTCCACAATTCACAAAGATACACATATTTGCTGTATCAATATCACACGAATACTTCCATATTCATAAATGATACACAGATCGTTGTATCAATACTTCAACAGATACACATATTTGTTGTATCCATGAGTCCATCCCCTATCTCCTCCCAAACAATATCCGTTTAGGAGTCATCCCTATCTTTCCCTAAACCGTGGAGTACATCCCTATCTCCTCCATACAACACAATATATATAAACACATATCATATACATAATCAATCATACATAAACTTGATGTATTCTACCAATTTCATATTCAATGACATATTCAATTGATTAGTTTTAGTTCGCCTAATCATCATGCATTGTCTACAACAATCAAGACTATCCTCCATCGATAGCCCAAAGCAATTATTCTAAACAAAAATAATTACATCAACAGATAATTCATCAACAAATTCAAAAGTGAGTGATTAATAATAAATTCAACTCCACCATTTCATCCCATATTATGCCAACTTCATTATTTTCATGATAAATGTCATTAATTACACTAATGACCCAAATATACCCAAAACATGGCATTTTCCCTATTTCTCAATATTGACCCAAAGGCTCAAATATCATCAACAACATCAATAATCTCTTTTTAAAACCAAAATATACATATATGAGTCAAAAAGACAAAACCCCTCTTTTCAATATAACACATCTCAAACCCTAACTCCAAATCAAACCATCTATACAAATAGCTCAACATTTATGTTAAAGCACATAAGAATGAGTAGTTATCGCTATCTCAAGAAATCTCGAAGTGCTCCAAATCAAGAAATTTTCGATTGATAGGAAGCCCACACCAAGCTCTACACTTTTTGTAAAGGCTAAGGGTAAGAGTCACTCTAACTAGATCAAACCTAGAGAGAAGGTATATTCTAGAGAAAGGAGCTCTCAAAAGAGGGTTTAGAAAAGTAAGAGAGAGAAAGGAAATGCGAAAAGTGATTCAAAATCATCAGCTACAACTGATATACGACTAGTCCGCTCGAGCGGAGAATAGGACGCTCGACGGAGAACACAAAAACTGACCCGCTTGAGCGCAAAATGACCGCTCGAGCGCCAAGACACAAGAACAAAAATACATCTGCTCGAGCGAAAGGAAATCCCACTCGAGCGTAGATTAACCTCTTCCAGTATTCTTACGGACATTGACACCCGCTCGAGCGCCAAGAGGCCCGCTCGAGCGCTACCTGCTCAGCGTATGAAATCCACTCGAGCGTGAAAACACACCTGCAGTAGTTTTGCAGAGGCACAAAATGCCGAAAGTGTGTAAACTCCGCTCGAGCACAAAGGGACCCGCTCGAGCAGACACCAAAAAAATCTGGCAACAAGAATGGACTAAAGCTCAACCAACCTGTTCGAAACACGCCAACACATTCTAAAACTCAAATATAAGGAATTAAAGGATGATAACAAGACATATACAACAACAACTCCACGGAACCTAAGTCCGGAATACTGTTAAACAATGAAGGAAAACCGGGATCGCTATAGTTTTTGGGTTCATCATATCTATACTTTCCTACACATTTTTTCGTAAAAGAAAAAAAAAATTAATAGCAATTAATAATTTGAACACATGTATTAAAACAAATTATATTTAGACCAATAATATTATGACACACGTGAATATTGATCTCATTCTAATTGTATTAATATATTTTGAGAAGAAATTTAAAAATTTGAAAATTTATTTTATAATTTAATAAGATGCAAAATTTAAGGAATGAATATTGATCTCATTCCAATTATAGTAACATAAATTTAAGTAGAAATCCAAATTGGAAATTTTCTTTTAAGAATATAAAATTAATTTATAGACCAATCATATTGTAACACATATTAACAAAAAAATAAACAAAATAAAAGTTTGCAACTATATTAGTGTATAGATATATAGATAAATCATGGAATGTTTTAAAACTTATATATTATAGGATAAATCATTATAATTTTAAATTTAAATCAATAGAATGCTTTCATATTAGTACTCCTCAAATTTGAATTTTGAAATGGATAGGTATACGTTTTATTTTTTATTTTATATATTGATATACTTTCCATTTGAAAGTCATAAATCAAGAGATATTAATTAATTTATTATTATTATTTATTTATTTGCTTAAATGAGAGCTATAGAGGATTTTTTAATTATTTAAAATCAAAAAATTAGAAATTTTAGTTTGAGATATTGAAACTTCCACAAGACTTGTGTTAGAAACTCCTTTTACTATTAAACACTAGCATATCACTCGTACTATGCACAGAATAAATAATATATTATTTATTAAAAATATTGATAATTATATTTAATTTTTATG